GACCCATAGAAGAGGAAGCCCTCTTTGCTAGCTAGGATCCAGGGGTAAACGTGCCTTATTTTGTGTAAAACTCTGCCTCATGTTTTGTATAATTGTAATCATAATTATGAATGTGTTGTACAAAATGTTATGGAATTGGGTTGGTTTGGTATAATGGGTTTTTGGCTTATCGTACTGTAAATATTCATCTGTATATCTTTGGTGTTGTTAAAAGATATTGTTAAGAATATTTTCAGAAAGTTTTCCTTTTTTACCTATTAGAATATTTACCTATATATATATTGAATAAGAAATAATATGTATATTATAATTCAATAAACTGTAAATAGTTAAGAGCACTGGCGTGGAGTTGACTCTATAGAGGAAAGAGGGACCTGTGCTCAAATCACTGGTGTCCCTCTCACAGCGCTGTCACCTGCCTCATCTATCCCTTCCAGTTGAGGGCAGGCACACCCTTGGGTGTTCCAGGGTTACATAATGATTAAAGGGAAACTATTTAAGTATCAAGAATTATTTGATAGCAAGAATCCTATGGATCTGTGTATCTTCTTTTTACCCCATTTACCACAGAGAATACCACAGGGAAATGCCCAAAGCACATAAATCGGTGTCTATCTATAATTTTTCTTTATCTGTGAGTTTTGAGTTGCACAACCACTTCTCACAGCAGCAAGAGGTAGTATTGTTGGCATCCATGTGATCATATGTGTTAGCATTCACCAACAAGATACAGGGTTGCATAATCCAGCCTGTTCTGAGGTCTTAATATCTACTACCCCGGATGACAGAAGCATTCAAACCTCAGCCACTGCAAACTGTTGTGTCCCTAAAGCAACTTTTCCAGGATTTTTTATCAAATATTGCTAACTGCTGGATTACAGTGGTTTTTTACAGGGATTTGAGTAAAGCATAATGAAATAAGCATTTAACCATCAAATAGTTTTAAAAAGCCATAATCTCCTCAAAGAACTTTTTCATCCCAGTTAATGATTACTAGCTGCAAAGCTAGGAGTTTAATGAGTTTATTCAAAGAAACTTTTAGAAAGCTTCCTGCAGCCTAAGAACAGAAATGCTGTACTGCATTTGAACTTGACTCCTGTTAGGTTACATAAAATAGGTTTGGCACATTTACTTCAAGTGCCTTCATTCTCTAAAAAGTTATTTTGATTACAATGTGTGACAGCCTTTTGTAAAGTTAGTGCTGTCTTCAGCAGCAGGGAAAAAATGAATATGCAAAGGATTACTGTGACCCTTTTTGCTTGCTACCTTTGCAAAATCTTATCTCACCCTTCCTTGACAACGCTGTGCTACTCACAATGGGTTGTGTGAACAGAAAAACCCTAGGCAGTACATTTTGTATTTTGATAAATTAAGATTACATTTGAAGATTTTGATAATACAAGAGTTTTTACAATTATTTAATGTGTCATGTTGAATGATGCTATTTAAGGTAGATGTTGTTCTGTGGCATTTAGCAGGTGGGAGGGTTCCCAACCAGCTTCCTGCCTGCTGTCACTTGGCGTTCAGACTGCTTGGCTCAGGGTGCTCTTAGAGGCAATTGCCTGCATCCAGCCTCCTGGAACTCAGGTGTGACACAGAAACAACAACTTGAATTCATGTTTGGTGGTAAAAGCTCAGATAGATTTACTGTCTTTTAGGACAGTAGCTAGCAGATCTGCATAGCAATCAGCCTAGCTCAGCAAAACTGCCCAGACTGGTAAACAACACATGTGCACAGACAGGGCTAGGTCACTACAAAAGGGTGAGGCTCACAACCCCTTTGTTTATAGCCAAGATGCCCATATTCTGTACCCACTCTTATCTCTCTCTCTGCTGAGATTCCCTCTTTACTTGTCTCTTGGTCAAGTCCAGACACTTGGAGTTCATTCATTGCCAACTGCAGCTCCCCACTTCCAAGTTTGGGCAACTAGATCTCACTTACTTTTCTAGCTTACTCCATTACTTAATTTGAATATCTTCAGCCTGCTGAGTACAACTTGCCACTTGTTATCTCCACTTTAGCAAGTTCTAACGTTTTTACTCCCCAGCTTGTTTGGCTATTGTTTCTTACTTTGAATTGTCATTTTCACTTATTCTGTCTTTTATCAGGTCATCCAGTGGTCAGTGAAGCCTGTTACTCCCAAGAACCTTTGCAGTGTCTTAGTATAACTATAGATTAGCATAACTGTGGCCTAGAATTGCCAAAACTCCTATACTAGGAATGATTACAATACTAATATTCTGTAATGGAATCTATAGCAGCACATCTGGATGATATATTGATAATTTGTTGTTGTCAGCAGTGAGAGAAACTCCAAGAAGATTGCCCTGAGTGTTTGACGTTTCCAAGGAAGGGACTGAGTGACACCGTGCAGCAGGAGCTATGTCTCTGCCCTTCCGAAAAGAGTTAGAGAAATACAAAAATATCAATGAGGATGAGATTCTCAGCAAACTATCAGAGGATGAGCTGAAACAACTGGAACATGTTCTTGATGACCTTGACCCAGAGGTAGGTAACAGAGACAGAGAAAAGGCTGATGTTTCCAAATGTAGCAGGAGTCTGATATTTGCTTATGTTCCAGATACTTGGGAGAGAAGGTGTGCTCACAGGTGAAGGCACTATGCTAGGCCCCAAGACAGCTGGGTTCTGTTCCCAGCTCTGTCACTTATGTGCTATACGACTTTGTACGTATGTTTGTGCCTCTGTTTTTTCTCCACACCGTGCCTATTTAGAGAGTAAGAGCTTGTCTATATCATGTCAATGGTAAGTTTTAGGGAGAACAGGGCTTAGCACCTGCTACTATAGACAGAAGTGACCATTTTTGTCTGATCTGGCCCCAGAAAGTGGCCTATAGCCATGACCAAACAGAAGTGCACAGCTGCAGACCACTTTAATGGGCCAATCCTGCAAAAATCTGAACCCTCAATGCATGAAGGTGCAGATTAACACATTCCAAAACGGAGAGCGTTCTGTAATTTGTGTCTGCGGGGCCCCCAACCTGTCACTGTTTTCAGAATGGGAGGGGGGGAAAGGGAGCAGAGGCAGTTTCATCTGGGGTTTTTTACAGCTGGCACTGGAAGGTGGGGCAGGTGGATTGCAGTGCCCCTGAGGTGAGGTTCTTCAATCCACCACCCCACCCTCCAGTGCCAGCTGGGGAACCCCAAGACTGAGCTCCCTCTGCTCACTTTCCCCCCTCCCATTCTGAAAACAGCTTCCGGGCTGAGAGGGGGGAGTGGCATTGCTAGGAGACTAGGCTGCAGGCTCACAGCAAGCAGCTGGAATCCCCAACTCCTGGACCCAACAGTGAACTTCTGTTGGGTCTGGGGGATTGTTGTAACTCATAGTGCTTCCTATAAAGTGCTGTGAGTTGCAACAGGGACCTGCTCTTCTGTCTGCACCCCTGATTCTGCTAGTATGTATTAGAGCTGGAAGTTCACCTATCAAGCTTCAGGGCTTGACAGCAGGCACTGTAGGTGAGCTTAGAGAAGTCCCATGGCTGAAATTTGAGTTTTGGGGTGGATCAGTGGACCCAGGTGGGTAATGTGTACTCAGCCCCATGGACCATTAGACTTGCAGTGGATCCTTAGTTCTTCAGTACAGAAGTCCTTTACTGTGTGTCCATACAAGTAACAGGATGTGGCACTTTTCCTGGTTGGCAAGTGTTTGGGGGCAGGAACTGTTTATTCTGTGTTTATACAGTGCCATACACGGTTGTTATTTTAACACTATGGGAATAAATGTGATTAATATTAACAGTTGATAGGAAAGATCTGACTGAGAAGACTTAAGAATGTGCCATTTTTAAGAGTTACATCTAGGAAATAAAATATATATATTTATAATATCTTTTATTGCACGAACTATATAGTTAGGAGATGATAGATAAACTTCATGTTTGAAGAAGGGCAGGTTGTGGTTATCTTACATCTCTCCCAGCTTTACAGTTAGTCCAATAAAAGATATCACCAAAAAAAGCTATGTTTCTTCCATATTTCCTGGACCATCACAGATACTACACTCGAGGCATATTACATCTAGGAAGGGGGACTGGGGTGGAGCATGTGCTAAGACACACTGTTGACAGCCCAGAGGTCACAAGCTTGAGGCCACAACAGAAACACTTATAGTGCAGCCCTGTCAGACTCCAAAAAATCAGCTAAATACCTTGTCAAAAGGACCCGAAAAAGGAAGGACATCTAGGAAATACGTTGCTGCTGTAGTAGGGGAAGCAATACGCAGAAATCATTCCACTTTTTCAAAAATACTGAAATTAAATTCAGAATGTTTTCTGAAAATGGCACCACCCTCTAACCCAATCTGCCTCTTTCCCTGTCCTTTTGTAGAATGCCCTTCTGCCGGCAGGCTTCCGACAGAAAGATCAGACCACTAAAGCTGCCACTGGCCCTTTTGACAGAGAGCGATTGCTTTCGTACTTGGAGAAGGAAGCACTGGAGCACAAGGATAGGGAAGACTTTGTACCCTTTACAGGAGAAAAGAAAGGTAACAGTTCATCTTCACATGTGCCCACATGAGTGGGGATATATGTCAATATAAGGATCGCAAGCTGTGTGGTCTCCTAGGGAAAAGAACCAGTGAAAAATAGAGAGAGGCCATATCAAGCCTCAAAGCTTATGAGTCAGACTTAGAGCTGGAAATGCCTTTTTAAATTAAAGCTGACAGAGCCCTGGTTTTATCTGTGGTCTAATGGTCTGCCCACAGGAACAGGAGCCAAGAACTCCTGGATTCTAATCCCAGCAGCAACCCTTTGGTCTGAGACAGCAGTGCAGCAAAGTGCTGTGTACCGTGGCTCTGATTCAGCAAAGCACACACTGGAAGTTAAGATTCCCGCTGAATTCACCGAGAATCCTCCTGTGCCTACAGTTAAATGGTTGCATAAGTACTATGCTGGTTCAGGCTCTTGGAGAGAGAACTACCACATTCCTCTCTGAATAAGAGTTACCTGGGAGTATGAAAAACAGACAAGTTACAGAAAGGTTATGGGGTGGAATGGACTGTGTGCCAGATGCTCTGTGGAAACTGTCACTGTCTGCTTTTACCCTGTGGCACCTGTAAACTAAACCAGGCCAGTATAGCCATCAATAGAACAAGGCTATGATACTCTCATTCAGCCTTAATTTACTACAGGGTCGGAGTAGACACATGGAGAGTTGCTGTGATAGCTGACAAGTGAGTTTCCCAGTGGTAAGTTCAGGATACTACTATTGCCTCCATTCATCAAGATATTTAAGCATGTGTCCAATTCAAAGGCTGTGAGTACTTCTCCTTATTTCAGTGGAATTGCTCAAAGTTATACAAGTGCTTAAGTGCCTCTAGGGAAACCTGTGGCAAAATTATTGATCTTACTGGGACCAAGATCAAGCCCTGGCTGTTACTTGCAAAATGCTTCCAACTTATAATATGCTACATGCAGGTGAAATATTGCTGGTAAGGTTATTACATTTCATTTTTGTCTTTTGGAAAAAAAAGATTTAATCAGCAATTATTTTAAAGAATCATGGCAGCTTTTAGCAAGATCTGGGGCAACAACCTTTGGCCCACAGGCTGTTAGTCCAGCATGCCAAATGATTGAATCCATTGCACAAAGCCCAGATATTGGCATCATTTTGATGGATTGCATGTGCAGTAGTGGTCAGGCCAGAAGCACCAGCCCACCTTGGACTGAGCTGTGTTATTTTGGCCCACTGCTCTGAAAAAATTGCCAACCCCTGAGCTAGACCTATGTAAATGAAGCAGAGCTTTGTATCAAAGCACATTGTCTTACCTGCTTTTTCCCAGTTAGCATATCCTATTTTTAATGGTACTCACACATTGTATAGAATGGGAAATGCAGTCTATCTTAGATGGACTTATTACCAACTGCTTCTCTTTTCTGACCTCTTATGCAGCATCATGCTAGAAAGTTACAGCTTTCTCTCGTGTTGCTGACTAATGTTTCTTATTGGGCCTGTGCAAATTCACGCTGGCCACGTCAGAATCTTTAGAGGTAAGATTTTGTTCCCTTTTGTCTTGTCAGAGTTAGAAAATTGTTGAATTGCAGCCACTGATGGAATCCCTTGCATGCCTGAATTTACTACACATAAAACTGCTACCAGGTGTATGCAAGATTTCACAGTGCTGTGAGGATTGGTATGTCCTCTGTGTCAGACTAACCATTATGCCGTCCATGTGAGCTGTTTCTTGTATTTAGGGTTTTTTTTGATGCTGCTAAGGAAACATTATCTTCCTGCTTGTCCAGTGGCATGTCCAGGGCATTTGGATTAACCGTGATTATTAATTCACAGTATCTGTGATTTGATAACACCACTGTTTTACAAATCACAAATAACATTTTCCAACTCTCTCTCAACCAGAATGAACTCAGCCTCCCTTACAAATAAAGCTGCTGTTATCTTTTATTATACCATTTTTATTGTAAATTACTTACATATAAGTGCTGCTGTAGGATTTATTGTCTTGATTTCTCTTGTGCCTCTCATTTTGGATGTCTGTCCCAGGCAGATTCCCAAATGATAACAACAGCAGTTTAAGGCACGTGAAAAAAAGCCTCAGGACCACTGCGTATAGAATTGGTAGGTAATCTGCATCTAAATGTAAAGAGCTCAGCTCTGCTTTCACAGAAGTCAGTGGCCAAGTCCCACAAAAATAGCTATGGCTTCTTTATTAGTACTGTCGAGACCTAAATTAATGCAAGACCTACCCATGTTAATAGATCTGTACAGATAATTGTGTCACGTTCAGCACTGTAGTGCTTGAGGGCTTAGTGGTTTATCCAGTATCACTTATATGCTATTTTAAGAAAATGTGGCTTTGGGAAAGAATCTTTCAGCCTTGAGCATGGCATGCCCCCATGTTGGGACTTCTGGGGCCCTGCTATGCTGCCCTTGGACTGAAATGCAGGCTTCAGCAGGAGGATGTCATCTAGATAAAGCCCAGGAGTTGACCTGGCATGTTTTGATGGCCTTCTTCCTTCTGAGCTAGAAAGCAGAGGGTGTGATGGTCTTTTGTAATTTGAGACCTGAAAGACAACATATTACTGAAACACTCATTTGCCATATGAACAAACACTGTGGGCTTCCTGCACACTGTAAAGTGAGCCTTCCAACTTGTTGAAAGATGGGGAATGTTGCATAACAACTGGGAGCAGAGATGGATGGCTGTATTTCTGAGGATAGTGTTCCTAACTACAATCTTATTTATTTTGGCAGAACTCATTGAATATGCAACTATGGAATGATTGTTTTGAAATATTAACAACCTAACTCTTATTTACTCTAAAAGCTTGTCTACACAGGGAGTCTGACCACATCAGCCATTGCTGAATATGCTGTTCTGCTGAGTAAGTTGCAAAACAGGAACATTCTTTTCCAGATTTGTAGTAACTTTTAGTGATGAACAATTAGAGTTCTTCCAAAGTGGGGCAATTATTCCAGAATATAGTGATCCTAATTCCAGAATAGTGTCCATACAAAGGATTTTCATAGATTTCATAGACATTAAGGCTGGAAGGGACCTCAGAAGATCATCGAGTCCAGCCCCCCACCCGAAGGGCAGGAAGTCAGCTGGGGTCATACGATCCCAGCAAGATAAGCATCCAATTTACTCTTGAAGCATCCAATTTATTCTTGAAAAGCATCCAATTTACTCTTGAAAAGGAACTAATGGGGAATGCTCTGATAGAATAAGCTTATTCTAAAATAGGTTTTCTGGTTAGCTTGCTTGTATAGATGAACCATAAGGCCTTGTATACAGTCTTGACAGTGCAAAAGTACTTGACATTGGGCATATACTGTATGTAACTTCTGCTTATTATATGTGTTTATTCACTGCTACCACATTTTAAAAAGGTCTTGGTGCGAACGACCCTATATTTTCATCTTAAAGTAACCCTGGGCATGTCCACACATGCATTGTGTGGTACCTCTAACATGAGGTACTATATCAATGTGCAGTAACCAGTGCTAACGCACAGTAGCAACAGTGCACAGTCTTTTTGTGACACTTAATGTGCAGTGGACTAATTCTACTGTGCATTACCTCATTAGCACAGTTTTTGCCATGATGCACTAATGCACAGTAAAATTAGTCTACTGCGCACTAAGCATTTTGTATAAACGTGCCCCCGTTGGTTAAAAATTAAGTTCTTAGGCAGCTCTAGAGGGCCTCTGGTACTGCAAGAAAAGAAATGGGAGGTATGTAAGCCAAGATGCCACTCAGCAAAATTCCCTATTGAGGGATGTCTGTATAATTCAAGCTGAAATACCTTTTAAGATTTGTCATTGTTTTGCACTTTAATATTTGTCTTCTATTAAGAAATATATTCCTTTAAGATTAACCTGAAGGGGTAGAATGCTTCCTCCAAAGTGACATTCCTACACATTCCTAATGGGTTTTCTGCAAATCTGATCCTGACATAAAAGATAAAAGCAGGATGAAAGGAAAAAGGAACGGATTTTAAAATTCAGCTCTTCCTGCCTTAAGAGTCTGTGATGCATAGTTTTTTCTTATCCAGTGCCTTTTTTTTGGTTAGTGTTTCACTGGGAATTCTTTCACAAAGCAGTGTCCAGCAGTATCAACCAGTTCTGTTGCTTGCATCAGTCCTTTCTGTTGTTACACAATTACACAGTTTTGATTATGATACAAAGTGATTCCAAAGCTAGGGGAGTTATTCGGAGTAGTCAGAGCACAGGAAGTGTTAATACAAACTCAAGGTTTGGGATTGGTGGTGTGGATGGCTGCCTTAGGTCTTATTGCAAACATGTTATGTGGGCCTTGCAGTATTTGGCAAAGACAACTGAAGGTATGGTTTGCATTAAAGCTTTGGGCTACTGCCACATTTTAACTTGTTAACCTCCTACATTAATTGCTAGAAAGAACTAAGGGTTTGATCCCTCAAGGTGGCAAATGTTCTGTCCCCAGTTTGGCAAAGCACTTATGCACATGCTTAACTTGAAGCACACAAATAAATCCATTGTCTTCTCTCACAGGCATAAAACTACACAGATTTTTGAATGTTTTTTTTCTGGACGAGGGCCAGAGCACTCAGTAGCTTGAAGGTTCACAGCTCAGGTGGTAAGGAACCCAGTTACTGCAGAGACTACATCTCCCCACGTGGCCCATCAGAGCAGTTCCACTGTCCAAAGTCCCCACATTTGAACCTGATGATGGCAGGGAGTGGGGCTACATTGAGGGGGTTCTTGTCTTTAGAAAGTGGTCTGCCTTGTATTCTGCTGAAGGCCTGTTTTGGTGGCTTTCAAGAGCTAATGTAAAACACATCTGTTTAGTCTGTCAATAATAGGGGAGCCATCATTGTTAAGCATTGCAAGGACAGAAGAGTTAGGCCTGATTTTTGTCATCACAGTGTTTGCCAATTAGTCATGTTTATTGTATTCATTTTTGGACTAGTTTCTATTTATGATAAATAATCTGGCAATTCTTATAAGAAGTCAGTCAACTGTATTGTGACCCATAGCACTTCTTAC